TGCTATTCTATTCTATTCTATTCTATTCTGTTCTGTTCTAGTCTATTCTACTCTATTCTATCATGTCACAATGTATCATATCATAATTTTTTATATGTTTTGAACACAGACGAGACACGTGTGTGTGTGTGTGACGCCATATGTAGTTATCTGCAAGTATGTATATGTACGTTCCATCTCAGTTCTGTTTCATCCTGCCTGCTGCCGATGCCCAGGAAAGCTTCGTTCAGCTCACGGGGAGTTGGATGTCATTTGCACCCGATGTCCGAGAGGGCGCTTCTCTCTGGGCGGAGGTCGTGGGGCTCTCAGATTAGATGCGGAAGGAGAACTAGACAAGAAAAGAAAGGACCGCAGTGATCAGCGATGCATTTCGCATGCAAGTGTTCGCCATGTGGCCAAGGCTATGTGGATGGTTCGAAGGGTGACTGGGCCAGGCCCTGCCGGTAACACGCGAGCACAGACACAAACACAAGTGAGACCATTGACACGCTTCTCTCTCATGCTAAGATGCAGGTCTTGGCCGGAAGGGCTTTCGACGTCGTGCCTTTACCGCGAAGCCGATTCTCGTTCGGGACCTGAGTCCAAACTTCTTGTGCTTCCAAGCCAAGCGGGAAGATTTCCGGTGCTGCGCTGCAGCCGCGCCGCAGCCACGCCGCAGCCGAGGCTGGACGGTGGGAGGAGGAGCTCGTTTGGCTTGTGTGCGGATCTCAGCTTCATGTCGGAGGTCAGGCAAATGGTGATGCACGAAGCTCGCATCAGGTTCTACACCTGCAACAAGATGGCCAAGCCGAAGCGCTGTCGGCAGAGACCAGGTGTGGCCCTTGTTGCAGTCGTTGCCGCTGCTAGAACTTGTAATCGATCTGAGCTTGTCAGGTCTGGCACCTGGAACCGCAACTTGCCCGACGTTACCTTGGAGGTCTATCTGTCCGTGCAGACCTATCACCACTGCTTTAACGTCCGCGTAATCCTTGTGGAGACCCTTCTTCGAGGGCGGTTTCGGAGACATGGAGCACCTGGGAAGGTGCCCTTTCGCATCACCAACGGATTGGCCTGTGACTCACTGAGCTGGGGACTCGGTTTGGGACGACTTCAGGACAGATCAGTGCATCTACTAGTAAGGAGGCACGCCAGCAGATAGCGGGGGTTGACGGTTAAGGGCTAGCTGCAACTCGTTATTTTTTGGCTGTTGATGGCCGGTGCAATGGCAGGTAGCCAGGCTTTACAGTAGCGGCCACTAGCACAAGTTCTTGAATCGCACGACTGTAAGCCAAGTCTTGTGTGTGCTCGTATGCAAGGTGGAGACAGCTCGCTCATCGGTGCCGCAGTTCTGGTTCTACGAGGCGATCCGTTGCAAAATAAAAAACTAGGCCTTGAATCAGAAACTGCGCATCAGAAACTGCGCATCCGAAACTGCGCATCAGAAACCACCCCGAATCAGAAACTGCGCATCAGAAGCCAGCGTGTAGCAGAAACTGCGCATCAGAAACCAGCGTGCCTCAGAAACCGGCGCATCAGCAACCAGCGCATATCAGAAACTGGAGGCGCGTACAAGAAACTGGAGTTTGGAAACTGGCGGGAGCTTGGAAGCACTGGGGTGGTGAGAAGAAAGCATCCATGGACCAACCATGATAGCGGCATGGTCTAATGCGTTCTGCCATGGTCTACTGCGTTCTAAGCCCAGAGCATCCATGGCCCGACCATGATAAAGTCCATGGTCTAAAAAGCATACAGTGCCCAACCATGATAATGTCCATGGCCTGATGCGTTCTGACAAAAGAGCATCCATAGGGGGGGGCATGGTCTCTGCGTTCTGAGAAGAGAGCATCGATGCACCAACCATGATGACGGCCATGGCCATAGTCGAACGCACTCTGAGAAGAGAGCATCCATGGGCCAATCATGATAACATCCATGCTCTAATGAGTTGTTATAACCGTTCCCTAATAATGGCTTCTGGTTTCCGAAGGATACGTCTGGTTTCTGAATCAGCCGATGTGGTTTCCGATTGAGCCGTTCTGGTTTCCGACTCATGGTGTGGTTTCCGAATCAGCCGTCGTGCTTTCCGAATCAGCCGTTCTAGTTTCCGAGTCATGGCTGTTTTCTGAATCATGGCTGATATCTGATTCAGCCGGTTTGGTTAGCGATTTAGTCGTTCTGGTTACTGAGTGTTCCGCCGACCATGCTCGATACTGACCGTCTATTTCTGCTTGCCGCGAGCCGCGGAGATGGAAAGAGTCTTTATCACCTGAAGGTCAGTCCTTGCTCAACACAATCCGACTAGAATGCCTTTGCCCGTCGAATTGCGCACAGAAGAACTTTGTCGCAGGCACGTGCCCTTTCTCCACCAAAACGCAGCACCTGGCAGCAGCGGGTGCCAAGGTTGGACCTGAACGACAGCTCTTGATCGTGCATTGCATTGCTACATTCTCTAGTGCACAGTTGTGTCCAGATTCCACACTGCACTCCCAGTCCCAGGCGGTGATCGTGTACAACAACCTCTACAACAGGCCCAGCCTTTTCTGATGTGATTTCGAGCCTTTGAGTTGATCCACTTCTCAGGCCGCACTTCATCCCAGCAGCTGCACCAAACAGCGGGTGACTTGAACCTTCAATCACTCGCTCTGCTGTCTCCTAGTTTCGCTGCAAGGCACCGCAGCCACAATCCCGATCTTCATGGTCACCAGGGAGGATGGCTGGTTCCTCAGATGCCTACTGCCCCTCTTTTTCTGGTATGGGTTCGAAACGTGACAGAGGAAGAGATCTTTGCATGGGAAAACTTCCATGTTGAAGGTGAGCGGATGGTGACTGCAGCGGAAGATGCGGCTGCAGAGGGCGAGTCGTAGCTTTGCTTGAAAGCAGCTCTTTAGCCGAGGCATGATTGTGCGGTTGCCAACCCCCTTCCTAGACTTGGACAAACCGCCGATCTGCATCTGAGGCTGCAGTTCCGAATACCGAGCACTCGGTGCAGCGTTGACAGGACCGGTACCTTCGTCTGTCAGCATAATTTGGGTGAAGTTTCTCCACCTGTCAGGCGGGAAGCTGCGCCGACAACGAATCACAGTGGCCGGGATTCGAGAGTCGGGAGAGGGAAGTGGGTGAGGGAAGTGGGTGAGGGAAGTCACAGTGTGCTGCTGTGTCTGCTTAGGTCAGAGCTCTGGAAGTTCAGACTCCTGGGAGGCTTCCGAGAAAGGCAAGGGGTTTTGCAGCCTGGTGCGACGAGACGTGCTGATTTGCTCTTGATGCAGGTTGTGCGCTTTGGGCTGCTGACCCTGCGGGCAGCTTCCTGTACTCTGGGGACAACCGGCGCTTCCACTGGGTGTTCTCGTACCTCACGCACCTCAGATGTTCGTCCACTTTGATCAGGGCCTAGGAAGGTCGCAGAGGGACCAGAAAGACCAAGAGGGACGGACAGACTTTCCCACCACCGTCGGATACTCCTGTGGCTGGCAAGTCAAGGTATTCAGTGCGCTTCGTCCGCGATGGCTACATTCGCTTCCGCTATGCCGTTGATGCAGAAGAGATGCTTGTCTTGAATTGTGTGGAAAGGAGTGGCAATGGTTGTCTGGATTTCCGCTTGTCTCGAGTTGGTCTCAGGGGCTATGATGGCCTCATCTTCGAGATGGACGGCGAACCCGCCGGATCCTTTGCGAATGTCTGGTGGATTCCAGCAGACTGTAGGTACGAAGACTGACAAACACCCTAGGTTTGGAATGGATCTGTCCGGTCTCAAGTTGCTCCTTGGCAAGATGTGCGATATCCTGTACCTCGTGGCTCCCGCAGTTTTGCGTGGGTCTACAAGAAGGAGCCAGGGGATGTTGTACTCTATGTCTCCCACAAGCTGCGTGCCGTGCTGCAGGATTTCGGAACATCATCCGGGGAAGATCGCGCACGGCTGCAGTTGCTGGAAGTATCAGGCACCACGTTAACCAAGAGGGTTCGATTCGTGCAGCGAAGCTGCCATTGTAGCCTTGTGCTTGCCTCTGTGCGCGGTTTCGAGGTACGTCCCATGCCGACTTTTCGTGTCGCAGCTGCTCCGTGCCTCGACTGCACAGTTCCTGTCGGAAAGGCCTGCACCCGGCTACTCTCCAGGTGCTTAGCAGTCCCGGGAGCCAGCGCTGTCAGACTTGTGGCCGCGACGAGCGCCCCGGTCCAGACAGGAGATGGCTAGCAGATTGCCGTGGATAGACTGTCTGAGCGAAAGCATGCTGCAGGTATGCGGAGGTGTGGGGCTCGGGAAGCTCGGGTGCCAGCAGAGAAAGAGAAGAGTTTGTTGTCGTGCAGTTCTGGCCAGGTGCATTTAGACCGCATTAGCTGTCGAAAGTGCCCGCCGGGTTCATGGGCCCCGGCTGGCAGCGTTGGCGCAGACTCCTGCCAGGCAGCAGCCGTTGCCTGTACAAGCGAGACAGTTATCTGTAAACTCATGTCCATCAGATAAGTGACTTCCGTAAGCGAAGTCGCGTGTAATGTTGCGGTGCTGCTTCAGCATGCGTTTGGTGACCTCTCGCTGATTCTGCAATCATACTTTAGAGTTGCTGAACACGGATATCCAGCCGAGAGCATCGACTATAGGCATGGCCATTGACGTTTTGCTTGCGATCAGTGTTAATAGGTCCGGCGGACTTGCACAGTGCAAGATGTGCAGAGCCTTGGCTCGTTCTGGGAGTGGCTGCAAGTGGTCACAGTGGCTTGACGAGCAACCGCACCGACTGCGGGTGTTGACTGCAAGTAAGCAGTGTTCGACTAAGGATCGTCTACCGTGCGTGGAATGGTACTGCGCAGCCGTCCGACTCCATTTTTTGCCGTGGACTCTCAGCACAAATTCTGGCGCAGCAAGGCTTTGACGAAACATTCTCCTCACGACACTTTCTTGCCCGGGACGTCTAAGCCCTGTTAAGCTGCACCGAAGCATATCTCATCCAATCTCCAAAAAGCGTGGATTGATACTCCGGCTGGGAGTTTGCAAGAGGCTCTCAAGCTAAAAGCGAACCCAGAGTCAGAGGCAAACGCATGCCAAGTTGATACTGCTATTGTTCAAGCATCCTGCTCCATCTTGCGCGATGTTTGGGAGAACTGTGCGCACCCAATAAGCCTCAATCATGTTTGCTGCCGCAAATGGCGGCTGCATATCAACCTGAATGTAGTCAAGATGTTTACAAACGAACCCTACAAGACAGGTCGTTGGCATGTGGGAATGATGTTGAGGTCATTACGGCCAAGCAAGGGCTCTAATGATTCTAGGAGGGGTGAAGAGGTCAAAACCACACTTTCGTGGCTAACACCTGGAAGTGTTGTTTTGGACGACGGTTGGATTTCCTAAACAGTAGCTTTAGCAACCGCTTTTGATAGCGTGTAATGCAAGGATCCTTCCAAGCCAGTTTTGGAAGAGGCTGGCTTATTTTGGGAATCCCGGTTGAAGACGCAAGGACACGCGATGGTCTCGAAGGCAAAGCGTGAGAAGGCAAAGCGTGAAGCTTCCTGACTCTGAGGTAACAAGACTATGGTGCATGCTCTCTGGCGGCAGCCCAAAACCTGCCAGACTACATCTACTGCAGACGAATTGGCTGGCATAACAGTCAACAACAGGATCCTTGCCTGACCTCGTGTGAACTCGATTTGAGTAGATGCTTGAAGTAGTTTGAGTCATTGAAGATCACACCCGTTCAAGGGTCCGTGGCTGCCCAGCCTGCCAGCCGTTTCAATGGCGGCCCCGGGGTGGCAGTTGCGTCACTCGGCTTTTCTATTGAAATGGAGATGCTAACCAATAATATAGAATATCTCAATGAGATCAAAAAGTCACCAGAAATCGTGAAGGACCTTTAGCTGTAACATGAAGACTATATATGTGGGGCGCGGTCCCCAAGGCCTCTCGAGATATTCCTCGCGGTAAACTCGTCATGTTTGCTTGTGAAGTGGTGCCAATTTCTATTTCCATTTTCTTCATTGCAGCACTAATTGTCTTCAAGGTAACGTATTCTTCATGACTGCTGAACATGTCTCACTGTCGTAGTGTACCTCTGCTCGTGCTCACATGTTCACAAACCTGCAAGCAGCCCTTCTACGCTCGACAGAGAAATACACAGTGAACCGAAAGTTCAAGATACAGTCAAACAGCATGCCAGCCAGAAGATAAAAACAATAACCACTACCCAGACATGAAGAAGCAAGTGAATGTAGGCGGAATGTGTAGATGTTCCGCTCGTTTCCATAACGCAGCAGGACACCGCATTGTTGCCGCAGTGGATGGTCTAACGCTGCACAGCGAGAAACCAACAAGCAGACTGTCAGACCTGGAGCAAAACTTGAGCTAGTGACCCTTGACGAGACTGTAGATTGCCATGCGAGCTGTAAAGCTTACAGTTCTGGTACGGTTCCCAATTCCACACGCTTTGCATCGCCCGCCTCGTCCCGGTCAGGCATGGCAGCAGAGGTGTTTGGGGGGGGGGGGGGGGATAGGTGAGGAGACGAAGAGGGGAAACAAGGGGCTGCTCTGACCGCTTCGGCCCCGAATGCTTTGCTTCAGATTA